GTACTCTTATTTTGCTTGTTTTCGTCAATTTGGCATTCTGGTTGCGTGCTTTAATAGTGAAACTCGTAAAGTTGTTCACTTGTAAAGGTTAAAAAGTATCATCTAGAATAATAGCGTCCAAAGTAGGTCACGAAAATTGAACCAGACAACATGTTATTACATGTTTACTACTTATTGCTAGAACTTTTTGAGGTTTATTCGATATACTACATTTTTATGTGAGCACCTTCGCGACCCTTGACACTAAAATTATGAGGATCGGTTTTAGCAATGCCCCAGTTAACGGTAAATTCAATTTGACACAGTTATCATCGAAACGGAACGCTTTAAGTACAACACGTGAAGCTGTTACTGTTATCTCGGGCAAGATTGATTGTTTCCAAGGTCTGACCAATGGCGAACTTTGTAAACAACCGTAAATCCTCTGACTGTCCTTTTTATTCGGTGATCTACGACGTTCGATTGAAGTCTTAGGGAAGACCAAAGTCCTCTTTAGTTCTCGATTTTTAAGATTCGTAAGTGGTGAAGGTGTGTGGAGGCGGTGAGGGACAGACAATGAGGGACGATTGGTGGGTGATGGACAATGAGGGGTGGATATTAGGTGGTGGGTGGTAGTTGGTGGGTGATGGGCAGTGGGTGGTAGTTGGTGGGTGGTGGGCAGTGGGTGGTAGTTGATGGGTGGTGTCCAGTGAGTGATCCGTAGTGATTGGTCGGTGGTGAAAGTGGGCGGTGGGAAATGAGTGATTCGTAGTGGTTGGTGGGTGGTGAAGGTGGGTGGTGGGAAGTGAGTGATTCGTAGTGGTTGGTGGGTGGTGAAGGTGGGCGGTGTGAAGAGAGTGATTCGTAGTGGTGGGTGGGTGGTGAGTGTTGGGTGGTGACGATGAGTGATAGACAATGAGGGACGGGTGGTAGATGGTGGACAATGAAGGGTAGGTATTGGGTAGTTGATGGTGGGTGGTGGGCTGTGAATGATGCGTAGTGGTTCGTGGGTGTCAGGTGGTGACGGTAGGTGTTGGGTGATGACGGTGGGTGGTAACGGTGTGTGATGGGTGGTGGTAATTATAAACCCAGAATCGAACCGATGTTCTCCCAAATGTTAAGCAATAGTCTAAGCTTGCACTTCTTCATAACAGGTGCGCATACAACATTCGCGATCCGAGTATTTTATTTTGTTAAGATAAATTTTTGACGAATAAAAGACAGGCAAATCTTACAAAAAATTTATTGGTTCCATTCCGTCTCCTTTAATAAACAGAAACCTAGATCCATGCCTAAAAAAATAAAGGACGTTCTGTTTTAATAACGAAAGCTTAGCTTAACATAGAATACCAGAAATCAAAACGATTCTGTTTGTTCAACAAGTCTAATATTGAAGCACCCGAAGAATGTCCTTAGATAGTAATAATTATCCTTATTTTAAGACGTTACATTAGTGAAGAATAAAAGATGAAAGACGCATTAAGGACGAACGGACGAACGCCTAGCAATTCGTTTAACAAGTAGTCCGTAAGATTAGTCAAGGACAATCGTTATTTCTGGGGCAATTAACGAGAAACGACGGTCCTCGTAGCGCAAGCGATGTGCCCTTGTTGGCTTATCCGGTGCATTACCGCATAATTTAATCGAGTCCTTGATAAATACTCTCGGCGGAACTTGGGACTTTTCTTCCCGACGAGAATGTTTTAAAATCTATTTACTAGGATAGACAAAGAAATCTGAATCAGCTTGCAAATGCCATTTCTACGTAATTTTAGTTTTCAAGACCTTTCCTTCACTCGGTATAATTAAATTCTCTTGGTTATGACTGCAGCAATCTGATACTTAATGTAATTAAATTCTACGGTGATACAATTTTTCTTGGAAATTTAAATTAAATTTAATTAAGTAATTAATTAATTAATTGAAAACACTTACCCAGAAGTAACACGGTTCTGAATGGAGGCAAATGGAAACTCAACTCCAAGAAGTCTCTGAAACGAAAATTAAATGTGAGTTTCAGCAGGTAGTTGTCTAGTTAAATGAATAACTACAGCTACTTTAAAATATAACATCTTTTTAGAAGGGTTTGACATGTGATGTTATTGACGAATGATGGAAATAGAGTAGATTGAAAAGGTTAGAAATGAGAAGGTTTTGGAAGAGGAGTAGGAGAACATAAGGTGTAATGGATGTCGACAAAGAAAAGAAAATATAAGAAGAAAGAAAACCTTCTGAAGAAGCAGACGAAGAGCAATGACAGTTCGACCTCAAAATCCCATCTATTTTCTTACGTATGTTCATTTTCGTCTTTTTCGTTCAAAATTACCTCTTCCACGTCTACTTTTACGTCACGGCTATCAGCTGTTGTCATCTGTCACCGCCAAGTCAGCCATCTTTTAAGGGGTGATACGATGCCTGAAGTCTCTACGGATAAGGCATCGGAAGCAACCGCAGCAGTGAAGCATCTTATAATCAAGTACCAACAACTAAAAGGGGACTCAAGGGACAGAATACCCTCAGGGGCAAGCAGTGAAACAATAAAAGATGTCCGACGATGATAACTGTCAAAGATGGCTAACAACAGCTGATGGCGGTGACATTGAAAAAGTAAATTTGAAGGAAACGGATAGAAATTAGCTTAATCCTTAAGAAAATGCATCGAATTTTGAGGCCAAATTGTTATAGTATATCTACTAATATATCTGTACCTATTATTTGTAAGATTGTCTTTTATTTTTCTTTAAAAGTACTATTACTTTATCCCTTCAGCATAGGAATTGGTTTACAAAATTGTACTTGTTTCTACTCAATTTTTTATCAATTCCGCATTCAATTAGATAGTATAGCAACATTTTATACTTCTTTACGTTCTCGTTCACAAAACGACAACTAATCGTAAATAAATAAGTTTTATATCAAATCTAAAAGCAACTTTGTTTATTCAACTCGACGCTTCAATCGAAATGTGAGACCAGAATGCAGTTTATTAGGTTTCCCTTGCAACATCTAGCAATGGAGTGTTTCCATTGCACCTTTGATTGTGGCAAGACAACAAACTGTGCTACAAATTACCCAAAGCAATCAATACGTCTACAGTTGATAGATTGTAAATTGCTTCGACTTTAATCCTGCAAATCCGTTTGCAGCGGTGGAAGACCTCGAGGATTCGATTTATCGCAAAATTACATTTTGCTATTGCCAGCCTGTACGATACGTCTCGCTAGAAACAAAAACCGATGACACCAGAACTGCATTTTAAATGTAGGGTAACACAGGGTAAACGTGCGCTTTAGTTTTGAGATCAGAAATTTCAATGTGCCAGAGCTACAACTGTGAAGACAAATTCGAGTTCATCGTCAAAGAGGAGGCCCATGGAAAATTATTACCTTTTCTTCCGATTATTTTTTCAGTACCCCATAGGGCTGGAAATCGAAAGATCCTTTGTTAATGAGTAACAATGTTGGATATACATTGCGAAGACAAATTCGAATCTGTCTCCAAAATTACTGTAACACATTGTATACTTCGTTTAGTTTCTGTAGCGATGTGACCTTCAGTTTGACCGGCGCAAAGTAGAAACGAACAGCACTAGGTCAGAAAAGAAAGGAGACAACTGTCGGCCAAACTCGGTGAAGAGCGTATAATCCGTACAGTACTGCACGGAAAAATTGACCATTTCCACCACAATTACATTGCTCAAGTGTGTTGTTATTGGTACCATTTGGTACTGAAAATATCAACAAGATGTTTATTTATATTTGAAGACATATTAAACGCTTGTTTTCGACTCGCACTACTATTCATGATTGAACAAAACTTTGGGCAGGTACTGTATGAAAAAGTATGCTTAATGAACAAGAGTCGAGAGTATAATGAGCTTTTTTCTCCCTACCTACTATTTTACCAACGCGCATCCAATACATTGGAAGAGGCACATCGCTAGAGAAAATAAATGAAGTATAATTGTTGTTCTAACCTCAAAACGCAATAAGTTGCATTAGCGTCACTTGGATCTCGAAGTTTAAATATTCCAAAATTTAGATTTGGTGAGGCAATTCTGGGTTTAAATTTTAATTTAATAGGAAAAACTACTTTGAAAATGACTTTTCCCTGATGTAATTGTTTTGGTCTTCTACTCACGAAGTATTTCTCTCGGGAAGATTTTGATGAGCCGGTGATGAAACAAAAATAAGAATTGAATTATTGTCGTAAAGGAATAATGCTTGAGTAAGTTGATGAAGTTTTACAAGGATACCTCGGCGTGTGCCGGAAATTAAACAAACCTGCCTATATTGAAAGATGAAAGTAAAAGCGTACGCCAATGACGAAGCACATCCTCTATAAATTGATTGTAAACCAACAGTATGTCAGATTCGCTTGATAAGACTAAAGGATCCGGAAATGAATGTGATAAAAAAGGAAATAGGCTACAAAGTTGCTTACAACACAAGATTTAAATGAAATTCCAATTTTACAATCCTATTAAACAGAGCGACCTGGTTTTGACAAGCAGGAGCAAAAGTAGATTGGAAATTAACGACGAAAGAATACTTCTTTTTCAGTCGCTATTAGTATAATTGAAAATATAATTAGTATGACTGAGATATAATCCATTACTTAATAATAATTTATTTTTTCAATGACCTTTCAAAATAAAATTGCGTAAGTAGAGTGTCTTTCCTTATTTTATTATTCTTTCTTTAGAAATTCCAACACTGTTATCAGTTCTGCAAACATTCTTTCTGGCAACGCTAACGTAGTCAGTTCGAGGAGTGGTGATGAGAGCTAATAAATCCGAAATCACTGTTGTATTTGTATCTAAAAATACACGTCTAACACCTCGCAATGTTTCCGGGGTCAGCAATTCGTTCTTGCAAAATTTCCCTTGTGATATATTGTGTACAGTAAATGAAGATTGAACTCATTTTCGCAATGCTTTCCTTCATCCCTTGGAATCACCAAAATTTCAAACACAGGACTAAGCCGAATACAAATGGTTTTATTATGCATATAATTTTGTGACAGCATGAGTTATATAAGCATTTTATTTTTACCCCTTTTGCATATTTCTCATTTTTGAAACATCTGCGAGAAAATTAGGAAAATTTCCTTCTATGTAAATTTATAAATCATCTAACTAAATCGTGTTCTAATGTATATAGGTATCTGTGTATATACAAGGTGTTTCTGAAATAAGTAACATACTTGCAGGACGTGATGGGCACTATAAAACAAGAAAATTAAGTAACTGTTTGGGGATCCAAAGTCCACGGTTTTCGATAAAAACGTATTTATAAAGTACAGACAAGAATCAGCCTGTCATTGCAACGCTGCATTCAATAACCTGCCAGTTAGTAGCATCCATGTTGTATTTGGTATATCTTTTGTATGTTTTGTACCCAAATGTTGTTTGTTATTTGTTAACTTAGATTAAATATGATCGACGATGTATGTGTTTATAACAAGCCAATGTAGTTCTTTGTTATTTTAAGTCGAACTCATAAGAAGTAGGTCAATGTGTTAGCGTTATAGGTCAGTGCAAAATAGTGTATGTCAATTCACGCCCAGGACCGGCTTCGGATTACAACTTCGTCTTGTTTTCTGTCAAATTTCTTGTCCCTTAACCATGCTGCTTTATTAAACATGCGATTTCCTATTGCATCTATTTAACACCCTCCAAAGCTTGCTATTTATTTCAGAAACACTGTATATTAAGGGAAAAAGTCCTGACTAACTGAATCATCAACGCTAAGGCTAAACTATTGACCCTAAATAGCAGAAAATTTGTACAGACTTTCGTTTTAAGATATATACAAGGAATAAGGAAGGATATTTCGAAATTCAACCCTTAACGGGGTGAATAAAGGGGGGCGAAGTTCGTATGATACATTTTTATTTGTGAATAATTTAATAAACAAATATTTGTACTGTACTTTATTCTTAACAGTGCTCAAAAACACTGGATACTTTTTCCAACTTTGAAGACAATTTTGAAATAAAAATTCATGCCGTGTTGCCACCATTCGATTATTTTGCACTGTGAGGAAGATAAAAAATTTGCGTTGTTTTTCCGTGTTAAACCGATCCGGGTGTTATCGCGCTCCCTGTCCCAATAATAATAACCGGTTGATCCGGCCGTTTAAAAAAAGTCACGTTTTTTTATGCAATAACCAACGCGTGAGTTACGTGACTGTCGATCCTTTTCGGATGACGACCGTCACCGGAGGCGTCGCGGCGGCGGCACCCGATCGTCGGGGTGGCCGTTGGCGTCGTCTTCAAGCATTTACACGCTGCTACGTCTTGCTGACTCGACCTTGGCTTGCTTTCCAGTCATGTATTATTGAAACCGGAAAGGGTTAGATGGTTAGATGGATGGATGACTGCTTTCATACTGACAAACAAATATTGACTACGTACATTGTTACATCAGACACATGCCTACAATATCCATACTATTTATGGAAAGGTGGAGGTAAGGAGAACTATCTCTGTTGTGAAAAAGTGTCCGTCAAGCTGCGTTAAATTAGGGTGGCGCTACAGTAGCAACAGGGTAAATTTGAAATAAAGCGCCAAAAGTTATTAGAATAGGGTAGAAAAATAAATAAGGACAAAATTACTTTGAACTACGTAAAATGTCGAGGTTTGGTACACTGGACTGTCACTAACCACTCTAGTTACTAAAAATATTATATTTTCTAACTCGGCATACTTCAATCCAACAACAACCGCTACATCCATACCATATCTTTTGCCTAAGCTAGCGCCATTTTTAAGGGTTTTTGAACTGTTATTTACTGCTGATAGCTGGACTTTTCCCCCATATGGTTCTTCTTACCTCTACGAAAAGGTGAGAAGCGTTCGAAATGTGGTGTTATAGGCGGATGATGAGGAAGGTTAGAAATGAAGAGGTATTAGAAAGAATAAGAGAAAAGAAGACTCTATGGATGTCAATAAGAAATAGGCTACATAGGTCGGTAGGACACCTTCTCAG